GTGTGTGTGAGATAGTGTGTGTATGTGTGAGAAAGAGAGTTGTGTGATAGGAAGCGTGTGTATGTGTGAGAATGTGACAGAGTATGTGTGTGAGAGCACATGTGAGTGTGTGTGTATGTGAGACAGTGTATGTGTGAGAGTTTGTGTGTCTAAGAGAGTGTGTGTGTATGAGAGAGTGTTTGTGTGAGAGAGAGAGTGTGAGAGTTAGGAGAGAGTGTGAGTTGAGAGACAGTGTGTGTGACTGTGTGTGTGTGAGAGAGTGCAGGGAGTCGGTATGTGAGCAAGAGAGTTGTGAGAGTGTGTGTGTGAGATACAGTGTGTGTGTGAGTGGGTGTGTGAGCAAGAGTTTGTGTATAAGAGTGTGTGTGACAGAGTGAGAGTGTGTGAGAGAGTGTGTGCATAAGAGTGTTTGGAAAAGAGTGTGGCTGGGTCAGTGGGTGGGTGTGTGAGTGTGAGAGAAAGTGTATGTGAGAGTGTGTGTAAATGTGAGAGTGTTCATTTGTGTAAGTGTGTGTGGGTGGGAAAGTGTGTGTGAACAAGAGTGTGTGTGTGAGGGAGAGATTTGTTGGTGGGTGTGGGAGAGAAAAAGTGTATGAGGGTTTGTGTGTGTGAGTGTAAGAGTGTGCATGAGAGTGTATGTGTGTAGAAGAGCATGTGTGTTAGTGTGTCTGACAGAGAAAACGTGTGACAGAGTCCGTGTGACAGAGAGAAAAAGTGTGTGTGTGTGTGTGTGTGTGTGTGTGTGTGTGTGTGTGACAGAGAGAGAGAGCCCTTAATGGGCTGAGCCAACAGCTGCACAGCCACCTCTGACCAAAGCAGAAAGAGAGGGGTCAGTCACTGATGTGACAGATGATGTCCTGCACTGGTTTTCTCTCTTAGGGAATCACAATGACCTGGCCACCTAATAGGATCCTGAAATGGCAGGGTCTTTGAACCCCAGGATCCATTTCCTCAGTGAGGCATTCACTTCTGCATTCATTTATTCATTCAACTCTATCGTCATCCCGTGTTTATCAGGTCCATACACCAGTTGAGCAGATCCTGCCCACTGAGAATTCACAGACTAGTGGAGGAGAGCAACTCAGAATAAATTTAGAGCTGTGTGGTAGGTGCTAAATATAGTTAGGAAAACGTGCTGCTTGCAAACTGGAGGAAGTCAGTAACTGCATAAAGAGGTCAGGGAAATCTTGCCAAAGGAGTGAGATTTGAGATCATTGTGGACCCCTCAGTTGGGTGCCACCAGCTGGGGGACACACATGGGGACAGGAAGAACTCCTGGCAAGTAAACGGCTTGGAAGAAGGTTTGCAGGCAACCTAGAGCATCAGGTGTCTGATCAATTACCAAAACCAAAAAAAAAAAAAAAAAATCAAACCCGTTGCCTTCAAGTCGACTCCAACTCATAGCAACCCTATAGGGCAGAGGAGAACAGCCACATACAGTTTCCACGGAGCACCTGGTGGATTGGAACTGCCATCCTTTTGGTTAGCAGCTGTAGCTCATAGTAGCTCTTTAACTACTGCACCTCTGTGCTGGTTGATCAATTGCAGTGGGCTTAATATGGCAGAAAAGCACGGTGGGGATGGGGGGCAGAGGGGAGGCTGGTGCAAGAAATGGGGCTTGGAACACGGTCTGGTCCAGTCTTCACAGGCTGTGGCATGAACGTGATCTCTTACGCTCTGTGCTGTCCAGTACAGTGGCCGTAAGCCACATGGAATGTGGCTTGCTGGAGGAGAAACCTGCTGCAAATGTGAGATACGTACTAGATTTTGAAGACTTAGTATGAAAAAAAGAGTTTAAACTCCTCATAACTAATTTCATACAGATTTATTGTTGAAACGATAATATTTGGAGTGTTGTTGTTTTTAGCTACTGTCCAGTTGGCCCCCAATTCACGGTGACCCCATGTACAATGGGATCGGACCACTGTGATCCATAGGGTTTCATTAGCTGATTTTTGAAAATAGATCTCCAGGCCTTTCTTCCTAGTCTGCTCCACTACAACATGTTCAGCATTATAGCACCAAACAAGCCTTCACTGATAGATGGTTGGTGGCTGCTCATGAGGTGCACTGGTTGGGAATAGAACCTTGGTCCTTCATATGGAAGGTGAAAATTCTACCACTAAACCACCATCAGGTTGCATAAAATAGTCTGTTTATTTTACTTTCACCTAAAGCATAATAAAAAATAATCTGTTTATTTTTAACTTTTCTTTTAATGTTGCCCTAGAAAACTGGGGGTTACAGATGTGTCTTGCAGATGTGCCTTAGAGCACAGGGAGACTACCAAGGTTTAGAAAGGAGTGCAGGCAAAGGTGGACCTGGGAGTAATGAAGATGGGGGTGACAGTTACAGGTGCAGAAGGAGGTCAGAAAACGGTCAGTACAGAAACATCTAAGCTTGTCATTTCCCATTAAAGGAAAGGGTTTAACAAGGGGATGGCTAACCTGATGGCTGATGAGGAAATAATGATAATACTATTTTATTGAGCTACAGTTATACCCAGGTTAAGCACTTTATGTAAACCAATCAGGCGCAAATGATTAATGCTGTGAGCTGCTAACTGAAACATTAGTGGTTCAAAGCACCCTAGAATACAGACCTGACAATCTACTTCCGAAAAATCAGTCACTGAAAACCCTATGAGCAAAGTGCTAGTCTGATACACATGGGTCACCGTGAGTCAGAGTCAACTGGACAACAAGTGGTCGTTATTATCCATGCGCTGAGACTCGAGGTCCAAGTCCAGGAAACCAGTGGGTGTCAGGATGTTGGAGGAGTCCAATCAGACTCCCTGCTTCCCTGATTTCTTGTCATGGCACTGAATCCCTAATCAGGAAGATTCTTGTCATGGCACTGAATCCCTAATCAGGAAGATGAATGCAAGCGAGGGGCAGGTTATGAGAGAAGACAGTTCTTTTGGGACCACATAGCTGGCCGTTAGAAACGTGGGCCCAGGGCCCTCTCCCCAGGGGCAAAGCCTGATGCAAGAACTCCCTGCATTTGAGGAAGCAGACGCCCAAAGGGTATGCTGAGCCTGCCATGAGCTGTGGCCACTATTTTACAAACAAGAAACTCATGGACCACATGTGTTGGGGCCAATACTGACCTGTGTCCCTCCTCTGGAGGGACCTGGGTCTTTTTAGGCATGGTCAATAGACATTCTCAGCTGAGATGGGTTTGGAGGGGCAATGTTTCCCTGGTGGCTGAGTATGAGGCACGCCCACACATGGTGGACAGAAGGTCCCTCCCTGCAGTGCCTATTCTGACCACCACCCAGGGGTGCAGGGGGCCTCGCTGTGGGCCAGGGCTCCAAGGACCACTGTGGTCTCTTCACACTATGCCCAACATGGCCATTGATGAGGCTGCACCCTTCCTGCCTCCAGGTCCTTCCAGGATCCCAGGCTTAGAATCCCTGGAGTCAGCAGGCAGGAAGCCCTGAGGGTGACCCTGATTACCCTGACCCTTACTGGAGGCAGGAGCTAGAGAGTTTCTCTTGAGCAGGGTCAGCAATGTACAGCCCAAGTGGAGATCCCGCTGACCTCTGATCCTGTAAATAAAGTTTAATGAGGACGTAGTCACACCCACTGGTTCCCATATTGTCTATGGCTTCTTTAGTACTGTTGTTCTTGTCAGCCGCCCCTGACTCATGGTGACCCCATGTACAGTGGGATAAAACTGCTGTGCTCTGCAGGATTTTTATGGGCTGATTTTTTGGAAATACATTGTCAGGCCTTCCTTCCTAGTCTATCTTAGTCTGGAAGCTCCGATGAAACCTGTTCAGCATCAGAGCAACACACAAGCTTCCACTGACAGGCGGGTGGTGGCTTTGAATGAGGTGCATTGGCACAGGATTCGAACCTGGGTCTCCCACATGGAAAGCAAGAATTCTACCACTGAACCGCCACGGCCTCCATGTAGAGGCTAGGATGCTGCTAAATATCCCACAGTGCACAGGATGGCCCCCACAACCAAAAATAATCCAGCCTAAAATGACAATATTGCCAAGGGTGAGAACCCTGCCCTAGATCTATCACTTGGCACCTGTTCTCCTCTCCAGAGGCCCAGTAAAGACGTTTGCTACATGTGTGTACCTTGTAACTCCTGGGCCTAATCAGATGACAACAGAGAGTCCTACACTTGGACAGAGGTCCCTGTGTGGTGCAAATGGTTAACATGCTCAGCTATTAACCAAAAGGTTGGAGGTTCAAGTCCACCCAGAGGCACCTCAAAAGAAGGGTCTGGTAATCTACTTCTGAAAATCAGCCAATAAAAACCTGAAGGATCACAACTATCTGATCCCACTGTGCATGCGGTTGCCATGAGTCTGGGCCAACTTGAGAGCAGCTAACAACTATGACTATGTACTCTATATATGGAGTCCACGGGTGGTGCAAACAGTGAATGTTCTCGGCTACTAACTGAAAGGTTGGAAGTTTGAGTTCACCCAGAGGTGCCTCGGAAGAAAGGCTAGTGATCTACTTACAAATAATCAACCGGTTAAAATCCTATGGAGCACAGTTCTATTCTGACACACACAGGGACACTACGAATTGGGGTCAACTTGACTGCAATGGGACTGGATACTTAGGCAAGGACACGACCCCAGGAGCTCCTTTCAGCTCCCCGAGCCCCATGACAAACAAGACTAGGTGCTCATCTGAGCCTCTCCATGAAGCCCAGCCAAGCGGACCGTGTCTAGCCAGTCTCCTGGGACTGTCCCCCTAGTTTGGTTCTTGGGTGCGCCCTGCCCCATTCTGACCTTTCACAGAACATCTGTTATATCCTCAGAATAAATGCAGACACACTTCAGCAAAACAATTTCCCAAGGCATAAGCAGCTTTAATTCTCCAATCCAGCCCCCACTGGGGCCCCTAGTGACCCTGCTCGGCCCTAAGGAGTTCCAGACACACCACAGGGCGGTGGCAGGTGCAGTCTCCATGGCCCCACCTCCCCCTCAGCCCTCTGGCCCTGGCGGCTGGCTTCTCCATGCTGACACGTGTCCCTTTGGCCTTTAGCTCCAGATCAGCGTGTCCCGGGGGGCCTGGGACCCTGAAGCAACAGGCTCCTTGTCTTCCAACTTCACCCTCTCCACCTTCCTGTGCATGCTCTCAGCCCCCACAGCACAGTAGTACACAGCCTCATCCTCGGCCTGCAGGTCAGAAATGCTCAAGTACCCTGTGTTGCTGGCCACGTCTTTGGAGCCAGAGAAGCGAGAGGGGATCCCGTGGCCATGGTTCTTGTTTGAGGGTGAGAGGAACCTCAGCAGGAACCTCGGTGCCTGGCCCGGCCTCTGCTGGTACCAGTAGACGCTATAAATGCCCACGTCGTAGTCTTTGCTCAGGGTGCAGGCGAGGGTGACCGTAGTTCTGGGGGATGAGGACACCGACGGCGGCTGGTGGAGCACTGGCTGAGGGCCACAACCTGGAACACAGAGGCATGTGGGGATTCTGAGCTGGCAAAGGAAGGGAAGGGGCAGGAGGTGGCTAGCGCGGCAGGGGCTCTCTCACCTGCGCAGAAGGTGAGCAGCATGAAGAGGAGGGGTGTCCAGGACATGATACAGGCGTGCTGTTCGGCCTCCCTGGTCACAGCTTCTGGCCCTCACACGCCCACCAGGCCCAGCCCTCCTCCCTCCTCCAAGGGGTGGGGCTATGAACAGCCACACCCACACCCTGTTCCTGGCCACTGCCTTCCTGATCTTCCTAGGCTGGCAGCATCGGTTGGGGGGCAGCCTGGTGACCGCCTCTGTGTTCAGGAGGAAGCACCTGCTGCAGGCACACGGGCTGGTGGGCAGGAGGCGGACTCGGGCCCCTGGGAGCGGCGGGTCCTCTCAACTTCAACACTAGGAAGCTCAGCCCCACAGAAAATAAGTCCTTTGTCCAAATTTACAGGCCTGTGAGCTGGGAAGCCAAGACAGAAAGCACCCGCTTCATGCAGCAGAAAACATTACAGGCCCAGCCTGAGCATGACTCTCGGTCCTTGTCTTGGTCAGGGTTCTCCAGAGAAACAGAAACAGTGAGATGCATGTATATATATAAAAACTAACCCAGTTGCCATTGAGTCGCATCTGACTCTGTCAGAGTACAACTCTGCTCCATAGCATTTTTAAGGCTTTGCCCTTTCAGAGGCAGATCATCAGGCCTTTCTTCCGAGGCACCTCTGGGTGGGATGGAACTACCAACCCTTCAGTTAGTAGTCAAGTGTTTAATTATCTGCATGCCCCAGGGACTCCATGTATAAATAATATATATATAGAAAGAAAGATTTAGTTCAGGAATTAGCTCTTGTGGTTGTGGGGAGCTGGCAAGTCAGGCGGCAGTTGGAGACTTCTGCAGACTTCCATCCTAAGATCCGTAGTTCAGGAGATGGAAACAGCGCACAGTGGAGAGAGCAAGTTCTGCCAAAATATCTATTTACAGTCTGAAGGCAGATGACACCCTAAGAAAACTCCCCTTTCAAGCCACTGACTGATTCAATTACATCAAATTACATTATATTACATTATGGAAAGTGATTACATTACACTGCATTACATTATACTGTGGAAGAGCAACTAGCCTAGTGTTTGGCCAAACCCCTGGGAACCCTAACCAGGCCAAGATGACACACAAACTTCACCATCACAGTCCCGTTTCACGCTCCCAGCACTCCCTTTTAATCCAGCCTCTTTCCCTCCTAGAATGAAGGGGGCCCATCTGGGGCCCAGGGCAGGTGGGGGCAGAGGTAGAACAGCCTCTTCTGCCTTCCTCAGCCCTCATGTCTGCTCCTCTTCAGGATAGTGTCCCCAGGGAACTGTGTAGCAGAGCCGTGAGCGCTGTGCCCTCAGCCTAGTCCTTGTGCCTGAAGAAGCCCTGCTGCACCACTTGACCTGGAGGCCACAGTATCCGAGAGGGCCAGTGTCTACTCTACTGGTGCAGAAGCCTGGATGAGAACTCCAGCATCCCTTCCCTTCTCACCACATTCCAGAGCTCTCTAGCTCGAGCACAGACAGACAGGACAGCCAGGGTGTAGAGGGGACCTCGGCTCTCAGTGGGGCTCAAAGGCAAGGCTCTCTCTGGAGGGAAGTACAAAGAGGTCACTTCAGGGGATTGGGTCATTTGTGACTCTCATTCTACTTACAAGGAATGAGGGGAGCCAGCCACTGAGATGAAAACGTATCTTTAATCCTAGAAGGGTGTGGGGTGACCCTGACCTGTGATAATTTCCAGGGCCAACCAACCAATTGTCGTCAAGTTGGCTCCAACTTATGACGACCCCATGTGTGCAGAGTAGAACTGCTCCATAGGGTTTTAAAGGCTGTGACCTTTCAGAAGCAAATCTCCAGGCCTTTCTTTCAAGGCGCCTCTGGGTGGGTTCGAACCACCTACCTTTCAGTAAGTATTAGTAGTCAAATGCTTAACCATCTGCATCACCTAGGGAATCCTAATTTCCAGGGCAGAGGCTGGAAAATCCCCAGCTGTGACTCAGTCTCCCCATAGGGCTGACAGATTGCCAGTCAGCTTCGTGTGGATCTGTGCTGAAGGTCCTTTGGTTCACACTGACACTGGGGACCCAAAGTGTGCCCAGCCCAGTGGAAAGAAATTCTGTTCCAGGGCAGGAAGGATACAAGGAGGGGCTGCCCACAGCCACATGACCACCTGCACCCCAGAGTCACGGAGGGAACATCCTTGGATTTGGAAGCAAGACTCCTTCCCAGGGCGCATGCTGGGACCACCGGCACCACAGGGTCTCCCCGTCCTGGGCTCCCAGGGAGTCGCCGACTTCCTTTTCTGGAGCCTCAGCAATGATCAGCAGGGTACCGTTCTCAGTTTGCTAAATGAGGCACACTTCTGCCCAAAGCGATCATTCTTTCCACAGGACGCCACTTCCTATGTCTGCCCAAAGACACTTAAACCAAAGAAAAACCAAACCCATTGCTGTCAGGTCGGCCCCTAACTCACGGCAATCTCACATGTTACAGAGTAGAACTGTGCTCCAGAGGGTTTTCTTGGCTGTAATCTTTATGGAAACAGACTGTCAGGCCTTTCTCCTGAGGCGTCTTTGTGTGGGTTTGAACGCTTAGGTTAGCAGTCAAACACAAACCATTTGCACCACCCAGGGACCTTCCAAAGACACTTAGGAGGCAAGAAAATGGACTTGGAAATAGAAGCAACCCACAGATATCAAGTGAAACAAGATTTTCTCTGTTTCTGATGGAGGTGTTGTAAGCCAAGAATTTGGGGGGAGATCATTATTTCTTCATTTACTCAACAAATATGCAAATAAGCACTGTGTGCCCACTCTGTCAGTCATGCATATATGTGCCAAATTTCAGAGCAAGGATACTAACCAATTAGGACCTGTCTGCTCAGTTTAACCTAGCTCAAAATTTCCCTTAATCCCAAATAAGGACAGAAAATGCCCACCTGCCAAACCGACATTGCCTGGTACAGCGTCCTTGTTCCTGTGTGTCCCTGCTATAAAGCCCTGCCTCTTAGCACTGCTCTTCTGGGCTCTAGTCTGGCTTTCAAACTAGATGCTCCTCAATTTATGATGCGCCAATAATGCTTATGAGTTCATACACATGTCTTGTAGACATTTTATTTTTAACAGGTATGTCTTGCACCTCATATGCAAAGTGTTAAAAATTCACATTCCTGAGAGTCATTTTAGTCCCTAAACCTGAACACAGTGAGAAGAGCCGGCAACACAGGAGCCCTGATTCAAATCAGGGGACTCTACCCCATGAAAGTCTTGCTGTTGTGACAGTATTGGTTATAAAAACAACATAGCCACCTTGAAATAATGACACACTGTGTGTGCAAAAAAAATGTTTATTAAGCTTTGATTTAGGAGATAATATTGGAGCCATTATTCCTTGTCCTAGAACGTGACCCAGTTGGAGCTGGTCACAAGATCCCACAAAGACTCACAAGGACACATGAACTGGGCCCTGAGGTATAAAGACAATAGCTAGGACAATCTTGGAAAACATCTTTTAGGGAAACTTTCACATAAACAAATCCTAAAAAGGACAAAAGACCTACAGACTTTCCACTCTGATCTTTTCCTATTAACATTTCGTAAATAGTAAGATGTGTGAAGAAACCTATACCAATGATTGTTAAGAAAGACAATTCAAAATGTAGAATCACAGTGATTTAGCAGTTTCTAGTCAATCTGTGAAAAGGTGAAGCTTTCAATGGTTTTGCCCATTTGTAATAACATATACTGATGATTCTGTAACATTTCAGCAGACAGAGCTCTGGCAGCATGCTTGTCCATTTTCTCACTCTTGTCTTTCTATAATAGTCCTTGAATTTGGGCAGACATTAGCTCTGGCAGCATGCTTGGCTGTCTGTTTCCCACTTTTGCCTTTTTGAATAGATGTTGAATAAAATTTTCTTTTTCCTTTACTAAACTTTGTGATGTTTTTACCCTAGAATAGTTTACAAAAATGGAAGAAGAAAAAAAGGCATGGCAGGAGTGGTCATGGGTGGGGTGAGACTGTGGGGAGCTGAGCCTGAGCTTGCTCCTGATGGATGGGAAAGAAGAAGGAGAAGCAGACAGACCCTCTGTCCCCATCTCCCTGGGCTCTCACCCCCCAGTACATAATCAGCTGGGAGATGAGGTATCAGGGTTCTGGGATCCCAAAGGGCAAGAGAAGAGGGAGCTTGTGCGAGGCAGTGATTCACCACTGCCGGTGCCCAGCTGACAACCAAGACAAACCTCGACGTGAGTCATAATATCACCCCTTAGTACCCACAAGGTCCCGACCAGACCCCGAGAGGGAGGCCCCGGGCCACAGCTCCAGGGCAGGAGGGGTGGCCTGGTCCTGAGTCCCTGATCCTGAGAGATCAAAGTTGAAGATGCTGGATTTCACCCATGACTCTGAGCCCTCTCACTGGAAGGAATGCTTGGAGACACTGCCTGTGCCCTTTCTCTTCACTAACATGATGGAAAATCTACAGGCCGATGAGTGCACACCCAATGTACAGGACAGTCCCGGAGTGACAGAGCCTGGGGAGATCCATGCAGACCTTTACTTATATGCTTTCCTCAGCTTCTTCTACTTCTCTCGGTTCACCTCTTACATACTGCAGACGGCCAAGAACAGTCACGGCTGTCTGCGCTTGTGCTGCCAGACACTGGTCATCACACAAGTGCCATCCTGCAACTACCTAGGGACCCAGGGACTACTGAAGATGGAGATCATCCAACAGTTGAGACTGCAGGACAGACATTTGGACAGCTGCAAACCATACCTAACCAATTTCATCACCCTAGCAGAGTGGAGTTTCCTGGGCTACCACATCATGCATGACTTTCCCTGCGATCTCGCTGCTGATTATTTGTCCCTGCTGAGTTCCGTGGGCCACCTCAAGAAGCTTCACCTGATCTCTGGCTGTCTCTCATGGAAGCACCATAAGTGGCTCAGGTGAGTGTATGGAAAGTTCTCTGAAGATATAAGAACCAAGATCCCTTGAACATTCTTCTGATCCTTCCATATAAAGGAAGAGATAAGCTAGATGTGTGCAGAGTCACTGAACTCAGACTCAAAGCCTGGGGTCCTAGGC